GCTAAAATACTACTGCTACAGCAGCAGCCCCCAACCTTTTGAGCACCGGGGACCGGTTCCACTAAGATTTTTCCACAGACCAGAGGGGGCATGGTATCACATGCTGCCTGAATCCCGCGGATGGGCCTCCGGTTGTTTGCATGGCCATTACTGGCATGCTGTGGACTTGTACAGGACCGTGGACTGGGGATTGGGAACCCCTGTGCTACAGAACACTGATTCCAGTGGACTAAATACGGTCATGTATCTTTACAAGGCACAATGTCTCTGTTTTGTCTATAACTTGTAAACCATAATGGTATATACTGGCAAATGTTGCAAACAAGGCATAGGGAGAACAATTCTTCCCTTTCTACTTTGCTCTCTTGGGAACTTGCTGCTTTGCTGAAAGCTAATAACAAGGCACTGTTTGGAAATGTTTTTTCTTTTATTAGACACTCTTCATTGAATGGTTCATATGTATAATTGAATTGGGGCTTTATTGCTCTACAGATATATGTATGCCCATTCTTTCTCCCTTAATTATTTCATATGCTTTTGTTCCTTTGGAGGAATGTTCTGTTTTCAATCAAACAAGAACAGTAGCAATTTGACAGAGAGATTTACTGATAATTGAGAGAGAGATTCATATTTTTGCTCCAGTAGACTGATAATATGTCTGGGGACTACAATTGTTAAGATAAAAGGTTTCCACACAGTATTTCATATACTGTTTTTAAAGGGACAGGTTGATATGAATAGAAAAGGTGGAAGTGTGGTTTCTTGTTTAAATGTTGGCATGTACTTGTGGGCATGCTAACAATGTGAGAAATACTTTGCTAGCCATGTAGTAAAGCATGTTAGAAGAGGTCTGGCATTCAATCTAGAGAATCATACAAGCAGGAAAAATTCCCCCACTCTCTGCTTGATGGTGTAACACATACTTGGAGGAGAATAATCCCATTCTCATGTCAAACAGTAATAACAATCAGTTAAGTATATTATGGCTACTTCTTACTGGAATGTATTATCAAAATTAATATTTGCTATTTTGGAGGATTGTGGTGTGGGCTTTTCATAAGACTAGTCACATATTGAATTACTCTATCAGAAATTGTTTATGGGCAGCATCACTTGTTTTCTTAGAATCTTCAACATTATTGGTAATGGGATGTTTCTGGATCATTGAGAAGAACTGAGCATTTAAGACACAGTGATTCCATTCCTTCCAATCATGTTCTGTGCAGAAGTTGATCTTAGCTATAAACCGATGGTGTTGCCCCAGGTTTTATCTAGACCCTCATATGCAATAAATAATAAATAGGGAGTTCACCCAGAACTCTCGAGATGTCTTATCCAAATGTAATTTCAGCTTGGTTTATCAAACTTAGGAAAATATGAAAGATTTGACTGCTATAAATTCAATTTCAAATCTACAGCCACATATTTTTCATCTTTTCCTAGAGAAGTGAATAAAATAATCAAGATTTCCACATTACCCTTTTGGATTAGTTAGAGGTGCAGTTAAATTACCAGTCTTAATCATACCTGTGCCACATGCTTATTGCTTTCGGAAGGACAGTAAAAGCATGCATGTTCCCTCTATTCTATTAAAACTGAGATCGCCAATCTAGAGACCTTACAGGTCAACATACTATTGTCTGCATTCTACAGGAAGTATCTAGAGTGTATGTATTACCAACATATGAAAAGAAGGAAAATATATATAGCCAAGGAGGGATATGCTAGAAACGACTCATTTTCAAGATTTAAAAAGTATAGAGAGGTATATTGAACAATTTTGGTGTACATTTGTTTTAATTGCTTCCCTACCTTCTCATACTTTTAATATCTTTGGCATATTATTTCTTTCTACTAGTCATCAAAGAAGTTTCAATGGTTGCCAACTGCTTTATGGATAGAACCAGGTTTTTAATTTAATTAGTGCTGGGGGAGGGGGGAAAGCTCTACTCCATTTTTCTGTTTCCCATTTTCATTACATTTGTTAAAGAAGAATTTGCTTTAGAAATTCTTTCAAGGAGAAGAGTATTTCAGATAAATATTTGCAAACAGAATGAGATGTTGTTGTACTTATTTACTTGATGGCCAGAGATGTATATCCTATCTTTTCCTCTACACTCTTCCAGAGGTTTGCTACATCTTTGATTTCTTACAGTTCAATTATTTCCCCCACCAGTCTCTGCTATTGAGAAAACATTTAAGCATTTCTTCTTTCCCTGGAAAAACTGATCACCCATTCTCTGCCCACAAACTGATAATAAAATTCAAAAGGCTGTTTATGATCCAATCTAGTTGTGAGGCTTGAAACTCTGGGACACCTTTTCTTCCAGAGTTGTGCAATTGGTTCAGATTTCTAGCTATTCATCAAACACACAGAAAGTGCATCCTACTAAGCATGGAACTCAAAACTTTTCAGAGTTGAATTTGACCTATTCTCTTTCTATTTATGGGTGGGGTGTTTTTTTTTCTTCCACCCACCTTTTTAACCAGACCTTGGCACACTTTTATGAAGTTCTGAATTTATATATGTATTTTAATTATATTTTAATTGCATATCTTACTTCTTTTAATTGCCTGGGGCAATCTGTCAGACAAAAAGGCAGGTTATAAACGCATACATAATGACATGAAAACCATGTCCCTGTCTTGGTGGGGCTGGGGGAAAAGCATGTAATCTGTATTTAATCAAAGTCCTCTCACTTTTCAGTTTTATCTCTTGGTTGACATTTTTTTCAAACTTGTTTTAAGGTCAAGGGGAGCAAGGTTTTCCCATGAATGAGTTCAATTTTCCAGCCTACCTGCAACTCTCAAAGAAGCTAAAGGATCACTTTGTGGAATAGAGTGATTCTGAAACATCAGGTGCCTCCCAGAGTGGGTATAGAAGAGGTATTCCTTTTCAGATGATTACTTGGGCCCAGAGTGAATCCAATGCAGCATGTAATTTGCATACAGTTAGAAAAAGTTCAGCTGATACTGAGAAGACAAAACCTTTCAATTAGTGACTCCATTTCAATTTGCCTTTCAATTAGTGACTCCTCCTACTCTCTAAGTGGACTAAGAATTGAGAAAGTGTACGAAACTCTCTTGAAATCTTCTACATGTGCAAGGCCAATCTTACTAGCAGGGACAACCCTTACCAGCAGGGAGAACCCTATACAAAAGCTGCTAGTAGGACAGGAATGGATGCCAGTCTCAATCATGCTGTACTCACTGCAACTTATATAAGAGTGCTTGGCTTCACAGCTGATATGAAGGCCAAAACTAGCCTATTCCTTCTAAATAAGATGGTGCAGTAAGATTAGGCTATCAATACAAATGGTTACTGTGCATGGAGCTGGGATGAGAGACCACCCTGTACTTTGTCTTAGGTGGAAAAATACCTTTGGCCCATTCTAGGTCTGGGTCCATGCAATACTACAACATACTAAATCAGCCTCTGAAGCTACACATTTTGTGGGTTTACACAATACCTTGTACATAATTAACCAAGAGGCTGATTTCATATGATGTGTTGAGCCATCAGAAGAAAACTGAAGTTGAACAGTACTCAGTACGAGTCACCACTGTTAGCATGCTGTGCTGCTCCAGCCCCAGTGGCTCTTGTGTGTTGCAAACGGATGACAAACAGCAGCAAACAGCAGCCACATCTACAGTGGGGAGAGCAACATCTATTCATCAACGTGACTAACTGCAAAAAGTTAAATATGGTTGGACTGTGTTAGGACTCAAGATGGGAGGAAGCCACGAAATGCCAAGGCTGAGAGGTTGAAAAACGTCTCCTGGAAGAAGGCAGTCGTAAACCACTTTGGCATTCTTGTTAAAACCAAACACCCTGCAGGAAAGAATTAATTTAAGCAGCTGCAGTAAGGATTCAGCTGCCAACCCATGCTTCAGGTTGTTGCACCACCAGTCCATCCATAATTACAAGATGCACAGCTTTTGGCTTTTGCCTAACATAACCAGTGGCAAAAGGGGTTGTAGCTGTCCTCAGTCACAACTGCCTACCTTTGCTATTCTGTCTCACTTCTGTGTTCAAGGAACACTTCCCCGGAGTTTGCTGCAACCTAGCCCCCATCCATCGACCTGGCACCAAGGAACCACCTGCTCTGGCAACCGCCCACCTGTTTCCCGCCCCCACCTCTCCCTCCAAACGGCGACTTAAATTGGTAGTGGGCTGCCTATGCACCGTTGAGGGTGGGCTGCGCTGACTGAAGCCAGCCCTCTGCGACACCCAGACGCCGTCGCCAGTAAGCCAGCACACGCGGTTAAGCAAGCGAGGACCACCACCACCACCACCGGGCCGTCGGGCTCTCCCTTTCTGGCGGGCGCAGCGGGTTAACGGCAGCATCCCCAGAAGAAGCGCTCGTCAATCGGGCCCGAGTGCCCAGCGCGCCGAGGCTGCCTTTGTAATAATACAGAGGCCGGTCACTATCTAGGAACTTTCACCTGCGGGCGTCCCCTTGGCGGGGTGAGGACCACCTCATCCCTGGCCCCGGTGGTGCCAGACCCTGGATGCCTCCAGCTGCTCTCACAGGATAACATTGCAGCAGCCTTCGGGTTTCCTTTCGCTTCGGCCACACCCGCACACCCCCCCCCCGTCCTCCCTCACCCCCATTTCTGCTGCTTCTCTCCCAACACCGGAGCTGCCCATGGTTTCAAGAGCGCCCCTCCCACCCGGGCTTGCCTTTCCCGGACTGGCTGGGCATCCCGCTTGAGCTCCGCGGGGCCGCTCTCCGGGTCTCCCTGCCCGTCTCGCAAACCTCAAAGCCACGGGCAGGGGAGGGGGCAGAGCGCGAGGTGAGAGGAAAGCCAGCGCCGTAGGGCCCGAACTGCGGCGCCTCTCGGAGAAAGTAAAGGGTGGGCGAAGGGGGCGGGCCGAGGCGGCGGAGAGCACCCAATGAACGCCCGGGAAAGCGGTCGTGGGCCGAGCCGGCCGAGTCGCTATCCAATGACCGCGGAGCAGCCGAGGGCGGGAGTAAAACGTTGGGAGCTGGGAGAAGTCGGAGAAGGCGAAGAGTCGGGCGGCGAGTTGTCGGCGGAGGTGCTGGTGTTCGCTTTCCTCTCGCTCCGACGCCCGTTATACTAGCTGCGTAGTCGCTGCGCAGGAGCGCCCGGAGGTTTCCAGGAGTCCGGAGGGAGAGGACCGACCGGAGGAGCGAGTTTCTTTGCCCGCCTGCCTGGAGGAGAAGTTCAGCGGGACCGCGGAGCTGCTGGTCGCCAACAGGAAACTTTTCTGGAGCAGCCGGAGGAGGCAGAGCTCCGTCGCCGCCGCCGCCGCCGCCGCCGCGCGGCTGGGTTGCTCCACGCCGGGCTCGGGGAGTGCGAGTGGACTTGCGAGGGCTGCCTCGGCCCTGGCCGCGATGTCCCTGGCCACGGACGCCGCGGGGCGGAGGCGTCGGGGTGTCGGCGGCGACTGGCCCTTGGCCGAGAGGTGGTTGCTGCTCCTGGCGCTGCTGGTGCTCCCGGGGACGCCCGGGACTCGGGCTTTCGTCTGCCTGCCTTGCGACGAGTCCAGGTGCGAGGAGCCCAAGAACTGCCCCGGCGGTGTCGTTCTGGACATCTGCGGCTGCTGCTTCATCTGCGCCCGGCAGCGCAACGAGACCTGCGGCGGCTTCTTCGGGCTGCACGGCGCCTGTGACCGCGGACTTCGCTGTGTGATCCGCCCGCCGCTCAACGGCGATTCTCTCACCGAGTACGAAGCGGGCGTCTGCGAAGGTAAAACGCGGAAGATCGTGGTCTTGCTCCCGTCCGCGGGGCAGATAGCCGCTCCGCCCCCGCGCGGACCCAGGAGCCCGAAGCAGCGCGTGGCTTGGTAGGGTTGCGGGGCTCTACCCCGAGAGAGGAAAAGGACCCTGTGAGCCCCCCTGGCTTTCACACACACACACGCACACACACTAGTGGCGCTTCGCGGTTTTCCTTTCCAGCCTCTCTCATTTTTCCGACGCACAACCGGGCTGTAATGCAGCTGTAACTACCTTGAAAACCGCTCGCGAAATTCAAGGAAAAGGTGGTAGCTTCGTCGAATTTGGCGTGTCTGTAGGTTCCATCTCTTCTCTCCCTCCCAAGAAATATTTTCCATTTGTCTATGTCATTCTCATGCTCCTCTGTGTGTGTGTGTGTGTGTATTGTGTGTGTGTGTATATATATTGCCTGCACTATTAAAAAAAGAAAAAGAAAGAATAAAGGGGAGAGGGGAAAGACGCTGATAGTGGTGCGCGCATGTTTCCAAGCACTGGAGGGTGTTTGGTTCTCCAGTTTCCTCTTTTACGCCGCCACCCCGCTCCTCCCCCCCCCCGCGCCTTTTTCTTGCTGTTTTCATCGGTGTTAGGTTTCAAGATGGATTTTAATTGGACCACAAAAATAAAGCGGGTTTTTGTGGTATTTGTACAAAAATGTTAATTTGAACATCATTTCGCTCTTCTGACTTCGCTATTTTCCTGCTGGCTGTTACAGCCCAAATCACCAATACGCTTACCTGAATGTCGATGACTTTTCAATCCATATATATGAAGCAGTTGGTTATTGATAGTGTGTCATGTGGAACTCAACTTTTATCTAGTTATAGTGCTGAAGGATGTCCTACCATTTTAATCTTTCATAATAAATGTATTTTCAAAACATTACTAAATACAAATAAGCTCTCTTTATTCAAATTATTTTGGAGTTCTGTTCCCAAGAAGGTTGAAAAGAGCAATTGCATACTTGTTTGCTGGGATGGGAAAAAGAACCAGCTGTCTTGTTTTCATTTCTGAAAAAAAAATATGTTGTATTATAAATAGATAGATGGATTGATAGATGGATAGATTGATAGATTATATAGCTATAACATATTTTTCATAACTATTCTTTATCATTAATAAAATTGGAAACATTTAAATATTTTGTCTACTAGCTTCTGCCCAAATTGTATGTGAGTATTCAGTCTCTCCATTACAACTTTTCATTCGGAAGTCTTAAGGGAATATAGTGCATATGACAATCAGAATATTTTTTTATGGAAAATTCCTTTTCACTTCCCTCCCATAAGAATGATCCACAAGAGGGCTGCAGAGAGCTCAAAAATTCCTTTGAAAAAAAAATGGCAGGAAAGCCATCTAAAACATTCCCAGCTATGCATAATTTAAAGAATTCTTAATTCCCCTTTATCCCTAAAAATTTCGATTTATCCTTTGGGGCAGCCACTACAGCTTATTTTAACCTGTAGTTTTGTAGCTAAGAGGCCTTTTCCCCCTAGTACAGGTGTGCTTCAGTTTAGTTTAATTGGCAAGATGAGAACTCGATAGTCCTATCAGACTTTTAATAACTTGCTTGGGGTTGTGATTCCTTTGCATGGAGGTTTAAGTAAAGGAGTTATAAGGATGTTGAGCTGAATGAAATGGCTGTTATGGAAAGTACATCTTTATGTGTAACTATAGTGAATGTTTATGCTAGAGCAAATTCTGCCACCTCAACACCCTACTTCATTTTAGTTCAGAGGTTTTTTGACAGTTTTAAGAATTGTTTAGAACTATAGTTTCATCTTCAAAGCTTTAAATGATGACTTCGGCTAAGCTCTTGGTAATTATAGCTAACTTTGGATTTTGCAACATGTCTATATGATTGAGCTTGTAGATAAGAATGTTAATTCTGAAGTCTGTTGATAGTTCCAACAATTACATTAAAGTTGTTGGATGAGTTACTTGTTTTTCATCTATTAATTAAACATCTTTCAAAATTGGGAACACTCTTGTCATGAATATTGTGTGTGGATAAAAGCCTGTTTACCTCAAAAGAATAGGTCTTGTGTTTCTACAGAGCTTCCTCTTTAAGTCATCTTATTCTGTTATAATTTTTGTGCTGAAATGACCCCTACTGGTCAGTATGTAGAACTTTTTAAAAAACCTTTGAAAGATTTCGTGACAATCTGACATTAAACTGTGTTTCTTTATTCAGCCAATAAGTTACTGTTTAAGACAAATATATATACTTGTCTCAAATCTAGTGAAAACAGGATTTTTGATACAGGAATGCTGAACATAATTGAAAGTATTTAGTATATTCTTAGTTTAATTAGAGGGTGATGATTTATGCTACATTTGCTTTGCATATTTTATATAAATATGAAATAGCATCCTACTGCCAATAGTAGGATGAGCACAGATGGCAGTTGGGTCAGATTCTCGGAGCTATTAATGTTATTGTTTTTTTGTATGTGTTATCAAATACCAAAGGAAAGGTATTCCATATTGGCATCTATAATTTAATTTGCTAAATTTTTGAACTTATGTGGAAACAGCTTCATATTACTAATGATAAAAGAATAACCTTAAAATAATACAGACGAGATGATATTCCCTTAGAAGAAGGATGTTGAGAGCTCTCGCCTCACAATCAGGAGGCGGTGAGTTCGATCCTAGCTAGAGGCTAACATTTGGAATAGACTCTCCTGCTAGAGAAGGGGGTTGGACTAGATGTCCTCCAAGGTCCCTTCCAACTCTGTTATTCTATGATATTCTATAATATTTGGAGGAAAAAACCTCTCAAAGAATAAAAGCTGTTTAATTGATTTTAAAGCCCCAAAGATTAAACAACCAAATAATGTTTCTCAGTGAATCATGTATCAACAGAACAGGGAAAGAATTTGCCATGACTTCCATAAAAATACTCAGAATTTGGTCCAAATATCCTCTGAATAAGATACTGTTTAGATTTTCCTCCAAATCATTGAAGTCATAGGATCCTTGTTCTGAAACCAACCCTTTTTTGTACAACGTGTACGTTCCCATAATTCAAAAATGAAGGTTGGAAAAACACATACACACCATATCTTCTGGAAACTTGTAGAAAGCCTTCATTGCATTAAAGATGGATTTTTTAAAATATCATATATAGAGTATCAATTGTTATTATTTGAGCAATGTATCAGCTGGTTTCAAGGATGCATCATCACATTCACATTTTCCTACCTAGGAAAACTTAAGTTCCAGTCTTTAACCTGGAAATTAGCTGTTGTCAAAGAGACAATCCACATATTCAGAACTTGTTTGCTTCACTTTTAATTGGGTATATCCAGGATTCCGTTGTAATTTTGTTGTAAATTGATTCCTGTTCCTTTTGCTAAAAAGTAGTGGTATATATTCCACCATTCCTAAGGCTAAGGAATAAGGCATACATCTGAATAATATAAAGTATTCAAACTTGGATGATCTCCTAAAAGTAAACATGCAGTTATTTACATTGTTACATTGATACGATAGCTGTTGGAGATCATTGCACTGAATTAACATTGTGCCTGTTTTCTGCAGTCTCCAATTAATTTCCTTTTAAAGGCAGTGTAACTATGAATGATGCAGTTTTTTCTCATATTTATCCTTCACTTTAATGAATGGGTCACTGTTATGTTCAGATGTCTAAAGAGCTATAATTTTCTTTTGTTGGTGAAATGATAATTTATATGTTTGATCTGTTTGATTTTCTTCTTTTTTCTTTGAGAGGCAAACAGATGTCATTTCAGATGGCTTTTCCAAGGAAAAGCCAAAACCGTGGAAACTTAAGTGGTGAAGACCACAGTGATTCCTAAACCGCTATTATAATTAACATTTCTAGGAAAAATGGAGATCTTTAAAGTTGATGAAAGTCTTGGTTGTATCTTTATCCTTATAATAGAATTAGTTTTATTTCTTTTGTACTGAATTCCAAAAATTTTGTTTGCGTTGCCATATTTAGTTATTTCTAAAGATATACATAAAATGTAAGTTATCAAAATTCTCTGGATTTAAAATATTGCTAAAGTCATTAAACATATTGCTATTACAAATGACTGCTGATATGGGTCTCCTTAAGCAAAAACTGTAGATAAAGCAACATTTATTTAAAAAAAACTGGCAGGATCATGAGGCAGCCTGTTCAGGCAAATCTGTTTGCTATGAAATCATTCTGGCTTAAGCTCTCTGCATCTTTTGTGTGAATACTGCTTGCCATATTCAGAACACTTTCAGGCTCCGTATTGAATATTCAGGCTTAGTTTTTTCCATTCTCTTTGCTTGTATTTGCTTGTAGCTGCTTTTTATATTTAATTTTCAACATGGTTATGTGGGGTTTAATGAACTCCCCATGTTCCCATTTCTTCCATATTGCAATAGAATCATTTAAAAAATAGGATACAAATAAGGCTCTCAAAAGTATGTATTCATATTTTGTACCATGAAACTGTACACATTTTATTTAAGATTATCATACGTAGAAAGCAAATTATTGTACTTAAAACTTCATTTTTCAAATTAAATTTGAAAGGTTTTCTTCTTGAACAATAAACTTTATCATCTGTGCCAAAACATCTGCACTTATTTTTTTTAAATTGTGACACATCCACTGTATATCATGTTTCATGAAGGGTGCTAGATAGCAGAGATTGTTTAAAACAAGAGATAGTCCTGGGAATACAATATTAGTTTATGTTATAACAGTCATGTATGATTATGCCCCACTTTTGGACACTTTGTTCTAGCAGACTAATTTTTGTAGCTCCTTATTTTTGAGTTCTATGATAAAGTTGTGGAAACCTAAAACAAAGGATGATGGACATGGATATTCTGTACTTCTATGATTTTAAAGAAAGTTATGTTAGAAGACTGCTCCAACAATGATACAGTGGTCTGAAGAATATAATACCTCTTTCTAGAATCATTGATATAGCACAGGTATAATCTAAAGGGCTAGTTAGATTTCATGTACTA